GAGATGTCGACCTGGCACCTGCCGGGATGCGCTCACCAACACGACACTCGCTCTCCCCAGAAGGCCAGAACGCTCCGAGCCAGGGCAGGGGTCAGACCCAACGTACTGGCCTGGGCACTCTCGCCTCTGATTGCACAGCGCCCACAGCTCAGGCAGGACACAGTCTGGAAGGGTCCGCGTGGGCTGCGGGGAGGAGCCCACACCGAGACGCCAGGGGCCACGACGTCGTTGCCCCGGGTGTGGCCTCCGGGACTCAGGTCCAATGTAGCATTGAGAGCCTCGGGGACCCGCCGAGGTCTGGGCGTGAAATGGAGGCGGACCCTCCCAGGGAGCGGTCCAGGGGCTGCGCTGTGTCCAGGAGAATCCCCCTGGGTACCCCCAGTCACCAAGAACCGGTTTTGTATGAGTCACAGCAGTTATGTGCCTTTTAGAAGACACATTTCTAAATAAAATCACACATTTTAAAAAGTCACCAATTCCAAAGGAAAAAACTTGTAAATTACTTGAAGAGGGAGAATTTGAACAGGGGAGGGAGGGGTGTGCCTGAAGACGCTGCCCCAAAACGCGATTCGATCCCCAAGCTTACAGCGGTTTGAAATGATTCAAAACGAAAAGTCCACAGTCGAGTCTAAACACTCACACAAGAAAGCTTCGTAGAAGCTTTTACAACGGGTAGGTTACAGAGCGGTCCTGGGGAGCTGTGGCCTGCGAATGTGAAGAGGGGATGGTTTTATAAGCCCGATAATTCCTGTTTTGAAAGCAAAACAAATGTCTCCAATCTTAGATGCAGACACTCAAGCAAGAACGGGTGCGGGCCGCGAGCCGGACGGTTCTCTCCTGGCCGGGTCCAGGCGGCCTCCGCCGCGCGCCTTTCACCGAGCCCGACCTGCGCGCCGGCCTCTCCCGGCCGGAGGCAATCAGAATCGAAGGCTGACGGAAAGAAAAAGGAGAGGAGGACGAGCTTCATTCCAGATGCTGATGCCGCCGCGGGGCACGGGCGTGCAAGGGGGCCGACCATCGCGGCTCTGCTTCCCAGTCCATCAACTGGTGGTGGTGGTGGTGGTGGTGGTGCTTGTGCTTCTCGTGGGCAGCTGCTGGACGGTTGCAATCAGAAGTGAGCCCATCGATCCAGAAGAAACCTTCTCTCCATTCCCGTCCCGACTGCGTTTTGACGAGTAAAACATAAACCCGAGGCAACTGGGAGAGGAGACGCTGGAAACGGGCGAGGGTTGGCGAGCGGACTGGAAGCAGCCAAGACCCCGCAAGCAATGCAGAAGCACCCAGACTCAGGCCTCCACCTTGCCCCGCCTGCCTTCTTCCGGACTCGAATTCCCTGGGCGTACTAAGGCTTGGTGCTCCCCCACCCCCCATCGCCTTCAGAACCTACTTGGAGGCGCTGGAGGAGGAGGAAGGCTGCGCTGGAAGGCGGGAGGGAGAGTCTGGCACCTGCGCCCCTGTACCCAGAGGTTGGATTAGGGAGGGAGGTATCCCTTCTCCAGTGTCACCGCCTTCTCGAGGCTCTGGGTGCGAGAAGCTGAGAAGCAGTGGGGAAGGAGCCCACCCGGCGTCCGGGCGGCGCCGGACCTCCTGCTGCCCAAAGCCCCCCTTGGCCGGCCGCGGGAAAGGGCGGCTGGCCTCGGGCGCTGAAGTCACCTTTTCCACAGCGCCCGCTGAGAGCGGAAGGTTTCCGGGATATTCGCAGCGGCGGCGGGAGGCCCTGAGGGTCGCCTGAGTCGGGAGGGGTAGCTTCGCCTCTAGGATGTGCCTGCTAGGCTGGGACCGCGTGGGGGTCCGGAGGCTGCCTTGCTTAGAGGCTTCCCTTCTCTGGGCCTCTATTCTCGGCGGAATAGAACCCCGCTCTGAGAAAACTCTGCAATTCCCGGCGCCAACGCGGCAATTCCCGGAGAAAAGGAGGCTGTTTGTGCGCACTTTTTCGCCTAAAAGGGGTTTGTTTCTCTGCGGGTGGGTCTGCTTTGGATTGGCGCTGCAGAGAGACCGCGTCCAGAGGAGGTGATCAGAGGCCTACCCACCGACAGGGGTACCTAGGGGGCTGACAAGTTGGAGGCAGGGCTCTCTCAGTCCTTCGAGCCTGCCAAGGCCTGCCGGGCATTCCCCCAAAGAACCCCGGGGCCTCATTCCCAAGGGCCGCTCTCGCGCTCAGGATTCTCCTGGCCACCGGGAAAAAGTCCTGGCCCCTGTTCAAGGGGCTGGAGGAGGGAGGCACTCGGAAAGCCTCTGCGCCTGTGAAATGGAGTTGGGGGCTGGACTGCACCACTCCAAACTCTCCCAAATCTAGAAGTGAGGCCTCGATTCTAAAAATGACCTCCTACCCCTAAATCTGAGTTGCCCCAGGGACAAAATAGGTTTGGTGAGGGCTGATCAATGTGATCTCCAAGCCCTCTGATCTGGGACCTGAGCTCTCTCTGCAGGACATGAGCCCCTGCATGAGGCCAGAGATGCTTCCGATCTGACAGCTCCAGGCAGGGGTCCAAACAAGAGGTGAAGGGATGGAGTGGAATGGCTGGGTCTGACCCTCCAGTGAAGCTACATTGGGTGGCTTGGGTGGGCTCTCCTGGGGTGCTGGAGGGGTTGGGGGGGGAGGTGAAAGAAACGGACCCCATACTATACATACAGGAAGCAAGAGAAAACCAACTCTACTCACTGTGGTCCTTGGGCCATTGCTTTCCCCCTACGGGGCTTGTTTCCCCATATGAGAAAGTAGGTGGTTGTAGAGGATGAAAAACCCAGCATCCATCTAGGGAGGTGTTCTCTATGCCTACATGTGTGGAGGGGTCCCAGCTGGGTTGCCCAGGGCTCCAGGAGACACTGGCTTTTCTGTTTGCCTGGCAGCTTCTGAACCAACCAAGAATGGTTCTACCCACTGTCTCTCCACCCCTCATTGGGAGGGAGGCCTGCCTTGTGTGGGATACCATCACTCTTAGTGGGGTCCCACACCATCCCCTTCTGAAGAGCCTGGTGACACAGAATCACCCATGGGTAGAGCACCTGGAGGCCACCTTTCTGTTCTGATGATCACTGTGAGATTAAGGAAGGGGCAGCCCCACCGGAAGTCTCTTAATAACTGTGGTGAGGGGCAGCTGGGCTCTTAGGGTCCTAGTCTTGCCAGAGCCTCTGATAAGACATTCTGTTTGTCCCTGTGGACAAAGAATCTTAGTCATCCACGCAAAGTCTGGGGCAGGTGCTAAGACTCAGGGCCTCCCCGCCAGCAGCTGGAGCTACAGAAACTGCATCACCTTGAGGTGGGGCAGGACCTCGGGTATGGTAAGCTCAGTTTCCTGAAGCGACCACTGAAGCCCTAGGCCAAGCTCACATAGAAAGGAGAAATGGCCCAGGACCCCAGGTAGGGGTGGGGACTCCTGAGGGGTGGTAGGCACCCTTCCTTAGCCTCCATAGGCACCCATCCCCATCCACCTTCACCTGACCCTCCTTGTCCTGATGAATGAACTATGTCTCTCTCTTCAACAGATCCTGTAGGTTCAGTAGGTACAGGACCCCCACTCAATCTTCACAACCTGACTAGAGTCAAGTGTCAACATATCCTTCAGACAGGTCAGGACACTGAAGCCCAGAAAGGGGCAGTGGCCTGTCCTGAGAGGCAGGGGCAAAGAGAGAAGCTCAGAAGAGAGGTGACATTTGGGGTTGTTCTCCCCACAGCTAGAGCTTATATTCCTACAATGATGAGGAGAAGGAGCTAGAAAAGACTAGAGCCTTCTTCAATCATGTTGAGGACCTTAATAAGGCTCAGAGATGAGACACCTCACTCCAGAGTTTGTCCCCAGACTCTCATGGCATCCTGTGTCCCCTCACCCTGATCTGTCTAGAGGAGGTGATCAGAGGCTCCACATCACCGCCCCTGGTTTCCTGTACAGGTTTTTCTGAGGCTCCAAAGCTGAGAAAAGGCAGAGTGTAGCCTTTCCTTCTCCTCTCATCCATCCCTTCCTCTATCTACGGGGATACAATCTACCCCACAGTTCCCTGGGATTGCTAAGGAGGATGTGTCCAGGAACCACTTGGCAAAATAAGCAGATTGAGGCTGGAGAAAGTTTTCCTCTCAGGGCAGCTGTGGGAGGGGGAGGGAAATTAGGCCATGCCTGATAAACTGAGGCGGGAGTGTACAGGTATAGCTTCTGGTCTACGAGTTGCACGCCTTCCCACTGAGGCACCCTTGCCGGGTGGGCATCCTGTGCTCTGGCCAGGAGGCTGTGCACCGCCACCCCTTCCCCAGCCGAGCCACGTGGCTTTCGCCTCTCTTCCTCCCGGGCTCCTTAACCCTTTCCCAGGCTTTTCTCCTTCCTAGCTGTCCCCCATCTTTTTTTACTGCCCCCTCTTTCTGCCCTGGTTGCCTATGTGCCCGTCGGCACGTCACGGCTCCGTCGGCACCAGCGCCTCTGTTGGTCTCTCTTTGCGCACGGCTCGACGTCCCTGGCACCCTCACATCTCTGTTTCTCATCTTGGGTGGCCCTTACTGTCTCGCTTTGGCCCCTCTCTCACCTCTCTCGATCCCTTTGCTCCCTTCTTTGGGGGTCTCCTCTCCCGATATCTCCTGCTCTCTCCTTCCTGGGTGTGCGCTCCGCTGGGTCTTCCTCGGTCTGGGTTCGCAGGCCCTTCTCGAGGCCCCCTCCCTCCCGCCTTCCTCCCTTTTCCATCCCTCCCTCGGGCTCAGCCTGGGGTAGGGTGGGGTGGGGTGGGGTGGGGTGGGGGGCGGCGGGCGGCGCTGGGCGGGGCGGCCGGGTGGGGCGGGGCGGTGACGCGGAGCCAGCCGTGCTAGAGGCGCAGCGGCGCGGGGCGGGGGCGCAGTCCCGGGTCCGACCGGCCAAGCCCCGCGCGCCCCGCCCGCGCCCTGCGCCTCCGCCCGGCCGGCCGGCGGGGGAGGGGGCATGAGCCGGCACCCGCGCGCCGCCGGGAGCTGCGGGCCGGCCTAGAGCCCCGCACGGGCCCTGCGCCCGAGCCACCGCTGCGGCTGAGCTGCGGGCGCCGCGATGCAGCGGCCGGGGGAGCCGGGCGCTGCGCGCTTCGGGCCGCCCGAGGGCTGCGTCGACCACAGGCCGCACCGCTACCGCAGCTTCATGATAGAGGAGATCCTCACTGAGCCACCAGGGCCCAAGGGCGCCGCACCCGCCGCCGCTGCCGCCGCCGCCGGCGAGCTGCTTAAGTTCGGAGTGCAGGCGCTGCTAGCCGCGCGGCCCTTCCACAGCCACCTGGGTACGTGCGGGGCCTGGGGTGCCGGCGGCTGAGAGGGAGGGGGCAGGCCGCGCCGTCGCGAGGGCTCAGCTCTGGGCGCATGGACCCCGGGTCGTTGCCTCGGCGCCCGGCAGCTGGCAAGTGGAGAGGCAGGAGCCGGGACATTCAGGAACCAGGCCTCGTGCCCGGGCCAGGCCAGCGGGGAGGGTGTTTGTCCCCTCCTTCAGTGCTGCCCTGCGCCCTCCAGCCCACGCACCGAGCCCGTATTCCCAACGCTGGCATAGGTCTAGACTGCTAACCTCAGACTGCGGGGCAAAGCGACCTCAGGCCGCGGGCGCATGGGCCTTCGCCGTGAAGGACTGGACGGGAGTGGCCGGGGTTGCCCGGTACTGCTCTAGGCGGGGAATTCAGACCGCGGGGAAGAGCGCTGCATCTCCGAGTGCTGTGCACAGGGCTGACGCAGGCCCAAGCCATCCTGAAGCCTCCCGGAGCCGCTGGTCTCAGGCGGGCGACAAAATGGCCTGTACTGCAGCACAGATACCCCTTAGCCTTGCCTGGGGACTAGAGGCCTGACTGTGAGCCGCTGCCCGATTGGCCCTTCCGCTTCCAGGTCTTCTGCGCTTCCGTGGAGCTTGAGCTGCCCATCGGGACCTTTTCTCATCCCTCCGGTTCTCTTCCTTCCTTGGTAGTGCCTGCCTTTCCCTGCTCGTGCCTTCTCCATCGCACCCCGTGTTCTTCTGGCCTTTTCCCAGTTCTCTTCACTCTGCGTCCATCTCTCTTGGCCTCTCTCAGTGGGGCGGGCTTGCCTTCCCTCTCCCGCCTTCCCTCTGGCTCCCACCTCACACTTACTGTTGAAACTGAGCCAGTCCTCGGTGATTCCATGGGACGGCACCTGCCCGCAGTGAGAGATGACTGTGGGGAAGGAAGGCTTCCATGTTCTAGCGTGACCCCAGCCCTAACAGCCATGTTCCTGGGGCCCCATTACCCTCCAGCCTGTGCTCTGCCCTCCCACGGAGTAGCAAAGCCAGTTTGTTCGTTTTAAGTCCAACTTTGATGCAGCCTCACTGCTGTGTGTTGCTGCCAGCTGTAGTGTGGTTAATTCGTTTGAAGCGGGCAAAAAAAAAAATTTATTTACGAGTGAAGAAAATGGAAATATTTTTATGGAGTAAAGACTAAACAGAAAAAAGAGGAAGAACGATTTTTGGATTCTTGGGGTGCTTTAACATTTTTGGAAAGGGCTTAAACCTACCACTGCTGTTGATACACTGCCTGCCGTGACTGTCGTGCCCACACAAGAGATTAGACCTGCTTTCTGCATCGATATTCTTTTCCTGAATGCGGCAGTGCCGATTTGATTGAGCAAATGCTCATCTTCCTATCTTGCTACCTTTTTTTCTTGGCTTCCATTTTCTGTGAAGAACATTCTGTGCATGTCGGAGTTTTGAACTTGTTCATTGAGAATCTCGAAATCTCAAAGGCGGCATAGTCCAGAGGAACACCAGGGTAGAGTCTGAAATGTGGGGGGCTGTCCCTATTCCCAGATTAGGGGAAACTGGCGCTGGAGCTGGTCACCCGAGGCACGGCTTAAATCTTGGGTTTTGCAGCTAGGGAGGAAGATTTTGCGTTGGTTGGCATTGGCCTGGCACTAGCCCTTGGCCAGCAGCAAGGGATACCTAGGGTGTCTCCCCGAGGAGGAGCAGAACCTGAGCTCATCTGGCTCCCTATTCTTTCCCCCACAGCGGTATTGAAGGCTGAGCAGGCGGCAGTGTTTAAGTTCCCGCTTGCGCCGCTTGGCTGTTCTGGGCTGGGCTCAGCGCTGCTGGCCGCTGGGCCTGGGCTGCCCAGCGTTGCAGGCGCACCGCACCTGCCTCTGGAGCTGCAGCTCCGTGGGAAGCTGGAGGCACCGGGCACCGGGGAGCCAGGCACCAAGGCCAAGAAGGGACGTCGGAGCCGCACCGTGTTCACCGAACTGCAGCTGATGGGCCTAGAGAAACGCTTCGAGAAGCAGAAGTATCTCTCCACACCAGACAGGTAGTGTGGGGCCAGGCCTAGCTCGGGGCAGTTGGGAGGGGGTGCTACCTGCCCTGCTGAGGGTGCACCCTGCTTTTTCCAGAATAGATCTTGCTGAGTCCCTGGGCCTGAGCCAGTTGCAGGTGAAGACTTGGTACCAGAATCGGAGGATGAAGTGGAAGAAAATAGTGAGTGTTTGGTGGCTTCTTCGGTTTCGCTCCCAGTTGTTGCCAGGCCCCTGGGCTCTTCAAGAGCTGCTCCACTACCCCAGCCTCTACCCCACCTCCAGCCCCAGACCGAGCCCTTTGCACCTAGTGCCCAAAGGGACCCTCTGTGCTCTCTCTGTGCCTGTGGCTGCCCTCACTTAACCCACATTTCTTTGTGTCCCACTGCACCCTCTGCTTCCTGGCAGTCTTGAACACCTGGCCTGGCCTCTGGTCGCGTTTACCTAGCCTCACTCGAATGGCCGCCATTTCCGTGGGTTAGGCGTGGCCTCAGATGGCCTGTTTGGCCCCTCCAGGCTCTGCCCAGCATAGGGTATGGGGTGCCCTGCCCCACCTCAACAGTGCTGACATCCCCATGCAGGTGTTGCAGGGAGGCGGCCTGGAGTCCCCTACCAAGCCCAAAGGGCGGCCCAAGAAGAACTCCATCCCCACCAGTGAGCAGCTCACTGAGCAGGAACGAGTGAAGGAGGTGGAGAAGCCGGCGGAGGTTCCGGGTGAGGTCGGCGACAAGGGCCGCGAGGACTGAGTGTGCAGTCTAGGGACCCCCGTGCACCACCGCGGACCCCTCAGCCCGGGAGAAGCCGCCAGCCGGCCCTTCTGTCTCCACGCTGTCTGCATTGTAAATGTTTTATTATTACCTTGAATGCGGACAGTTAGGGGCCAAACAAGGAAGGACACCGACCCTGAAGCCAAACCCGGGCCCCAGTGCGCCCGTAGCCTGGAGACTCATCCCAGTGGCAGAAAGTCTCTTCTGCCCAGAGCATTCACGCCCCTCTCCTTACCGCACCCCTCCCGCCTCGGACGTCCCTCGGCCCCGGACACCGCAGGCACACACCAGCTTCCGAGCGTCGGGAATCCCGTGGCTACGGAGGCCACCTTGGCCGGAGACTGCGTACGGACAACCTGGCAGCTCAGCTCTGAGGCGGGGTCCTTGACGTTGTTGGGGCCCCTACCCTTCTCTTGCGAAGATGGTGATTTTTTTTCCAATAAAATATTTTATGACACAGCGGGTCTAAATGAGGGGTTTCTGAATACGTGCGGGGGTGGGACGGAGTTAAGAGAGAGATTATCAGTAACTTCTGAAATATCCTTTCCTGGGTCATGTAGAAGCCTCTGGGTGCACACTGAACATGGCTGTGCCTCGGGGCTGCAGGATCCTCAGGATCACTTCCACTACGGGCTGCAGGGTTAGTCTGAACTGTTCAGCCCAGAAGGCTCAGGCATAGCAGCTAGGCTTTACAGGGGTCGGTCAAAAAAGCGGTTGCCCCAGGCCAACTTGAGGTTTACTCAGGAAGTGGCAAGGGACTGATAGCCTCCTCCAGTTGTTGTTCAGTCTCCTAAAACTTTTAAGGACCAGTATTGATGGTCCCAGCCAGCCCTTTCTGAGGACTTGAGATCCGCACCGAGGATACCACCAGTGGCAGCTCCAGCCCAGAAGCGACAGCCTCTGAGTTTTCATGTTCTCCGAGGCATACACAGAGCTGCGGAGCCTGGTGGAAGAGCCTGGGGCAGTGAGGGTTCCTGACTCCGGCTGCAGACTGCGAGCCCTTTCCAGTGGTACAGCTTGCCTCCTGACGGGAAGGCTTCAGGTGCCTTCTTTCAGGTCTAAGCTGGGCTGGGGGCTGGTGTGTGAGTCCTGATCCTTACTGTTCCTCCCAAGACAATGGCCATAGTATGGAATTGAGAGATGACCACTTTGCTGATTAAAGCTGGGGGAGAGACCCCAACAACTTGGCCCTGTAGAGTTCCAAGCAGGATAAGGATTTGAAACCAGGTCATTGCAGGTGCAAATACTAGGAAAAGAGGAACATGCTCAGATGCAGGCTTTGCGTTTCAGAAGAATGCGAAAACAACAACTATATCCTCTACCTGTAGTGGCCATCGCTTGCTTTTTATAATCATGGTTTGACCTACTCTTCCTGAAACCTGTACTTGAATTTCTGGTGCCAAAGCACCTCAGTGTTTGATTTAAGACCAGGAAGAGTGAAAACCAGCATGCTGCCCACTTCCCCGGGTCCACTCAGTATAACGGTCCTCTGGAAATCTTCCTGCTCAAGGCTCAGACTAGCTAAGTGAGGCACACTACTGCCCTTAATCCTCTCCACTGCAAACAGGAGGGAAGGGAAGGTCCAAGAAGTTCTGTCTGGGCTGGACCTGGGCGACTGAGATTCCAGTTACAGCTTTTGTCACCCACGCAAAGCTGTAGAAGGAAGAAAGGCCAAAAAGGAGGGTGGAGGGACTCTGACCCGCATTCCCCGAAGACAGTTCCAGGTCTCAGGTTTTACTAAATCTGGGGAACATGACCTTGTGTAGATTATCCTGTGCTTCTCCTGCTTTCCCCCAAGGGAACCTCCTCACTGGACTGGACTAATCAGCTGCCGAAGACGAGGGCTTTAAGGCGGGGTGGGGGGCTTGTACAGCGAATCCTGCGACAGAACATAGGGGCCCCAGTGTTCCATGGAGTGCAGGCTGCCAGGCACAGATAGGAAACCTGACACGCACGGCAGGGTTGTCGGCAGGGTTGTCGCAACACCAGCTGATCAGTGGGGGAGCTGGGCCCCCTACGATTCTGGTGCAGGCTGGGGTGTTTCTGTCACTGCCTGCACCACTGCACCCCTGAGCTCCTTGGGGACAAGGGACGGGGCGACCACGGCAAGTCGAGACCTTAAGGCTTCCTTGATGCGAATCCATGACACTCGATGGACACCCTGGCCCGCTACCGGGAGACAGAAGGCGTGAAGGTAAACGATGAGCCACCGATGCCGAGTTCCATAGCGAGGACCGCAGACCGCACAGCTGCAGCTCTAGGTACAGGATCGTCTCCAGTCCACGGAGGTGAAGCGTTGCACCCGGTCTGAGTGCTATCCGCCCCGGCCACCCCGCTCGGGCTACTCAAGCCACCAGCCCAGAGGGCCTTATCCCCGCCGGTTAGCACCCCTCCCTTCAATCCAGGACTCGGGCTTAGGGGAGAGAGGGTCCCCTTGCCTCCTCTCTCCTCTTCCCACTGCTCACACCTCTTCTCCTACCCAAGGTTCTGGGAAACGAAACCCGGAGACTGCTCGAGTTAGCAAACGAGTTCGCTGCAGCGCCTCGCCTCCGGAGCCCCGGGGGCCAGGGGCAGGCCGGGGAGAGAGCGGGCTTGGGTGTTCGGCGAAAGCCTTGGACTTGGGGGGAGCGGGGAGCGCGGAGGTGGGAGGCGGGTGGCCAGGATCCTCCCGAGGTTAAGAGCCCTGGCGGCAAGAGGACTGAGCACCAGGATTAGCCTGGCGGCAGTGCCCCGAACGCGCGCGAAGTTTACACTTGGGGGAGGGGGTTGGCAGGCCGTAGGGGAGATTTTAGGGGAGGGTTGGCTGAAGGGCGGGGATAGGGGGTTGCATCCCGACCCTGTGCCCCCGAACCTGCCCAAGGCGATGGAAATGGGAGCCTAGCTCTGGTGCCGTTGAGCTCGAGCCGGCCCCCGAGAAGGTTTGGAGAGATGCAAACGGGAAGCGGCGGGCCTGGGGTCCGAAGTCCATTTCAGAGTCTCCGACTTGCGGCTGATCCCGCACCGAGTGGGCACCGACAGAATGTGACAGGCGCAGCCATACGCGGGGTCTCCCACCTCTCCTCCTGCCTCCCCACTCTAAAAAATAAAGGTTACTCTGGTTTACTCCCTTCCCCTGTTCTAGATTCTCCTGGAGAGTCAACGGTGGGAACGCATAATAAGGTGGAAGGAGAGAACCGTGGCCCCAGGCTGCATTCTTTGCATCTCCCGGGGGCGGAGGGAGCTTTCTTACTGTACTTTTGAAGAGACCTACGCAGCTCAAGCCTCTCAACCTGGCACCCTCCCGGAGCTCCTGGTTCTGAGGAGAAACCTGGCAGCTCTTCCATTTTCATTTGCCCTGCTGCCTGATTTCGTTTTTACACTGGAGAGGAACCCATGATCCAAAGTGATATCCTTGACTGAGTTCCTTTGTCCAGAGAGGGGGACCAGCTGATTATGAGCCTCTGCCCTCATGGCCTCTCCATGCCCACATTTCCAGGGGCCAAACCCAGGCTAAAGAGGACCAGACACCCACCGGCCCTCCAGCTCAGCCTGGCCCAGGCTCTGAGACCTGAAGGAAACTTCTCAAACCACCTCTGCAGCCCCACTTCAAGAGTTTAAGGGAGGTGCAGGTCCTCACTCCCTGCTGAAGGGCGGGCCAGAAAGGTGACTGCAGCAGACAAGACCCTGCAGAATAAGTCAGCCTGGCTCTGGGCCAAGCTCTCCACACTCATAGTGCAAGAGAAGGTGGGTTCCCTTTTGTTTGAAGTAAGGCCTGGTGGAGGCATTCTGATCCCATCCTGATTTTCCAATGGGCCTCCCACTTGTGTGACTTCAAAAGTTCACATTGTCCTAGTTCTCACACTGTACTACTGAGTAGCATCAGCTTTAAGACAGCATCTTCTGGTTTCTCAAATTTAGGTTCATATGGCAGTTGGTGAAAGAGATCCCAGGCATTGTGGATCCTGTGCCTGAATCATGTGACCATTCCTGAGGCAGGTATGCTGGACTGGACAAAGGTGGCCTTTGCCTCTCAGGCACCAAGTTTAGGTGGAGAAAGCCAAGAAGTCTGTGAGGGAGAGAGGATCTTCCTCTAGGTGCAGAAAGACAAGGGGCAGCAGCATGGCGGGAACTTGGCTGGCTGACCTGTGAGGCAGTGGCCAACTGGGATAGGCCTGGGATGCTGGAGGGAGTCCTTTCAGAGGCAACTCTCACCCCCAGGAAGTTTTAGGGATGCCTTAACGCAGCAATTTCCCTGATGGTTTCCTTTTTATGTAAACCCAGCAGTGATTTGTGATAAAAATCTATGTCTTAATAGGCCTAAAAGAGGTAGATAAGCATTGGGTTGGGGCTTCATTGGTAATGTTTTAAAAAAGTTTCCTTTTAGTGTTTCAGGAAATAATGATGTCCGACATCAGTGGCATCACAGACTCTGATATCAAACATTTACTGGGGCCATTCATTCACTTAACAAACACTGAGTGCGGCAGGCAGTTCACAGGGCTGGGACACAGCCCCTGCCTCCCGTCCTTGTTCCATGATAGCCAGTAAGGTAGCTGCCCTACTCCCATTTCCCAGATGAAAATAAAGCTCAGAGATGTTAGGCAACTTGCTTAGGGACACTAACTATTAATGGCAGAATTTAAGTTTGACTTCAGCTCTATGGGTCTCCACTTTTCCTCACCCAACAGGCTCAAGGTTCATTTATGGGGTGTGGTGTCCCAGATGTCTCAGGGTCCCCAACAGTCTCTGCTTGCCTGTCATCCATTTGTTCACCAAGTATTTATTAAATACTTGCTTTGTGCCAGGCACTGTGCTAGGCATGGGGGACACAGTCTCTGACCCAAGGAGCTCATGCTAGAGGTAAGGAGCCTTAGATAGATGGCAAGGAAGCCACAATTAAATCTAAATGATGATTTCAGAAATCGACAAATGCCATGTATAAAATAAAGCAGGTGATAGATAATGTGTTAGTGGGGGCTTTAGTCAGGGTGGTCAGGAAG